CATAACTAATTGCCAAAATAAAAATCTGTCATTTTGAGCCATTTTTTGGAAAAATGCATGGGCTATAGCCTTGGGTATTTTTCAGAATTTTGGCATTTTCTTAAAATGGCTCTAACTTGAAAAATTCAAGTCGGAATCGCCTCAAACTTGCTACACAGCATAAATACATCAATATGTATCAGAAAATGTAATAAAAATTTGGGGTGATTTTGGAGCCATTTTTTGGAAAAATGCATAGGCTATATATAATAGCCTTGGGTATTTTTCAGAATTTTTGCATTTTCTTAAAATGTCTGTAACTTGAAAATTTGAAGTTGGAATCAACTCAAACTTTCTACATAGTATAAGTATATCAATGTGTATCAGAAAATGTAATAAAAATTTGGGGTGATTTCGGAGCCATTTTTTGAAAAAAAAACCATGGGCTATAGCCTTGAGTATTTTTCAAAATTTGGCCTGTTTTTAAAAATGGCCATAACTTGAAAATTATTTATCAGAATCAACTCAAACTTTCTGCACAGCATATGGACATCAATATGTATCAAAAAATGTAATAAAAATGTGGGGCGATTTTGGAGCCAATTTTCAGAAAAAATCCATAGGCTATAGCCTTGGATATTTTTCAGAATTTTGGGCCATAACTTTTAAAAATTAAGTCAGAATCCCCTTAAACTTTCTACACAGCATAAGGACATCAATATGTATTAGAAAATGTAATAAAAGTTGGGGGTGATTTTGAGCCATTTACGTGCTATAGCCTTAGGTATTTATCCTAAAGAGACTACTCAGTTGTCTTATGCATGAGCGCATAAGACAACTCAGTTGTCTCAGTTGTCTCAGCTGTTGTATGAGTGCATATTTACTGAAAGTCACATTCTTCATACTCCAGTATACTTATTTGGGCAAAGCCCACTAAGATGAGTAGAGTTTGTTTGTCTTTAAAGTCAGTGTAGCAAGGCTTAAAGTAAAAAACTTTTTCTAGCAGCAACATAAGGTAGAGATTCTGCTTCTTTGCACCTAATAATCTATGAGGCTGAACCCTTTAATGTTTTACATTGTTTCTAGTATTATACGTGTTCGTGTACATGTACATGTACATACATGTTAAATTGCTCCTTTTATTGTAAGGCATAGGCGGCAGCAGGATTTGAAGAGCAGTCAGGCAAAGAATGGCACGCGAAGTGCGCCGCGATTTTGGCCACACCCACTTTCCCCCCCACGTATTTTGGGCGTATACTCAACACACTCATACAATATGATATAGCATAAAATGCGCCTAAAAGGCCCCCTATCTTATATGTAAAACTCTATCCAACCTGTAAAGTGCTAGTCCTGGTCCTCTTGGAAGGCTTGTTGACAAAGGAAAGCAGAAAATACTGTCTCTTGCTAGCCATGGTAATTATTTATGACTAAAAATGATGTCATTAATTAAATTTTCATTTCTGGTCAAAATTTTTGGTCGGGCATTGCCCGTCCATGCCCAACCCTGCTGCCGTCTATGTTTTAAGGGATATGAACACAGTCAAAAATAATTAGTTAAAAATCATTGTCCTCATTATGTTGATAGGTAGCATCACTTGATTGGTGTAAAGGTCCTGATAGAGGTCTGCCCTGTCCTGATGTTATATTCTACTTTCATCTCTCATCAGAGGAAGCACTCAAGAGATCAGGATATGGAGAAGAGAGATACGAGAAGAAGTCATTCCAAGAGGTCAGTCAATGAGTGAGTATTTTTTCATAGCAGGGACATATACGATACATGTACTGTACATGTACCATGTAGCTAGTAATTTTAAGGGGAACTTTTTGACAGAATAAAACAAATGTCAGCATTTGTACATGCATTTGTACATTTGTACATGTACATGCATACAATTAAAACGTGCCAATCATCAAAAACTTAGCAATTCATTGAAATTGACATTATAGATTCTGGAGCTGTTAGGTTCAATAAAATTCATGAGTCCAAAATTACCAAAATTTTATTACATTTTCTGCCCTATACTGTAGTATAGCAGAAAATTATTGTAATCTAATTATTTTAATAGTTTCTTTATACATTCCCTCATTATTAATAGGAGGTTGCTAGAGTCTATGAGAAACTAAGAGATGGTAGTTGGTTTGATGTAGATGCTTCTAATTCAATTGATGAAATACATAAACAACTCTGGGACAAAACATCAAGTCTCCTTAGTACTATCAATAACAAAGAAATAGGAAAACTCTGGACGTAACAATTATAGCAATATTTATTATAGTAATATTTTAAGATATTTAATTGGGTGAATCCCTGACAGGCAATGTGGCTTTTTGTTTGTCGTTACTGGACATGACAAGGGGGAAAACCCCTTAATGTTTTACATGGTATTATTTAGTATTAAATTTTCAATTATTGTGGATACTAATTATGTGTGCATAGTCTACATATACTAATTGTTATAGTATAAGTATATCATTTCTACATTTATGTAGTCAATTCTATTGACACTAGGGGCTCTGCAAACAGTGTATATATTATAAAGATAATAGACCCAACTTTTATGTGCAACAGCAGTTATAACTTATAGCAGGCTTCTTGGGCAAATTCAAGCAAATACCTCAGTCTTAATGTACATGTATAGTAATTATTTAATGTAATAATAGTATGAGCAAGCCTTGCATGTATATTATTAAAGATAGATTAAATAAAGGTATTTTAAATATTTTATCAACTAGTACAACAATGACTATATGATTATGATTATTATACTAATGAGAGAAGGAAAGAAAGATAGAAAGAGGAAGGAGATAGGGAGAGAGAGAGAGAAGAGTTAGTACGTACTGTTCCCCTTCTTGTAGCTGATAAGTGGCATTGAGGAGTTTCACTAGGAATCTAGGCAGCATGTAGTCCGGAAAGAAAAATGAGTTTTTCAGTTGATTCCCTTCATCGATGCTCTTTGACGGATTAATAGGAGTGTAGGTGTATTCCCAGTTATCACAACTTAGTGTGATCTGGGGATAGTGTGATCTGTGATCAGAGGGAGATTAAAGCTATTATACATACATGTATATATACACCAGGCAATTCTATAGCTTGCAACTGTGCATGGTTACTTTGATGTTGTAAGAAATGTGTTGCCCAAAATAGAAGAGGTTTCTATTCTAGGCAACAGTATTGCAAAGTAACCACAGATAAATGCCTGCAATATCATTGCCTCTCTCTCTCCCTCTTTTTTTCTTTTTGTTTATTAAAATATTAAAAAAGATCACCAACACTGCAAAAAAGGATTATCTACACTACAATGCTTTAATAAAATAATTAACTAAACATGCACTATTGGTAGTGGTTTGTGTGGTTGTTCTTTTCTGTGTCTATCAATCAATGTCTTCTTTTGATCTTTAAGAGTTTCTTCAGGAGAGAAGTGATTCCAGCTTTAATCTCAATATATTCAAGTGATGGATGGATGAAGATAGTTTCATATAAATGTTGTACTTGTTCCATCCAGTTAGGTTGAGATGATCCTTTATTAATATCCCAACACTCTATCCTCAGTAGTCTGATGGTTGTATGTGACTGTAACATGTTAGTAACAGCAGGTAATCCCTGTTCAAATAACAATGATGTCATTATTTGTCTCTTCTCTTCCCAACTACTTTTACTGTATGACTGATCTAGTTTGAAGTTCACTTTAAGTTCTGTGAGATTGTTCTTTTGAGAGATAACATTAATAAAAGTTCTTATCTCTTCATTCAGTGGAAGTGGAATGGATACACTCAACTGCTGTAGACTGGTGTTGTATCTGAGACCAGTTGTTAGGAAGGACAGGAATGAACTATGAATATTCCAAATAGTGCTTTCATCATTAATCTTAAGGTATTTCAGTGTTTGGTTTTGTGTTAGCATGTCTTGTAGACTAGTACCCATACTGCTGGTATATGCTCTCTGATTTAT